CCGGGACTCCAGGATCATGACCTGAGCCGAAGGCAGTCGCTTAACCAACTGAGCCACCCAGGCGCACCGGCATTCTATGTTATGTTAATGAAGCTTGTGTCCCCTCCTAGGGCGGAGACTTTGACATTATAATGAAGCAGAGGCGACTGGGGATAGGAGCTCTGGGCATGCTCCGAGAGCCCGGTATAAACTGGATAGGGTCTTGGGCTTATTATCTCAGGGTAAGGAATGCAGGGTTTTGCTTGTTCAGAGGCTGGAATTTCAGTTGACCTTGGGTCCAGGCTTCTGTAAAAACAGCTAATGGATTTGTGAGTAGGGTCTGAAAAGATACAATAGCTGATTAGGGGAGAAACAGTTCCCTGAAAAAAATAAGGTTTAAGTTTTCTGCTAGTTTTAACTTCATTAACCCTATGGGGCACAGTTTCGATCCTGCAAAAACAATTCAGAAATGTACGTTGGATCAGTCTTTACTTTTGAAACAGCACTGGGAGTTTTACCATTGATTTATTGTCTCTGGTATGGTTAGGCTATTTCCTGGCTTGATAGAGACTGTTAGTTTTTGCATTCCATTTGTTCCCTTAAATCCTCAACTACTGAGGTTTTTGCATTTGTAATTCTAACACTTACTCTGCTGGAAGTGTGCTTGGGCAAGAAGAGCTGGTAGGGCATAGGTCACAAAGATAGCTGGGGGAGGGGCGCCTGGGTAGCTCAGTCGTTAAGCGCCTGCTTTCGGCTCAGGTCATGATCCCAGGGTTCTGGAATCGAGCCCCACATCAGGCTCCCTCCTCGGCGGGAAGCCTGCTTCTCTCTCTCCCACTCCCCCTGCTTGTGCTCCTGCTCTCGCTATCTCTGTCTCTGTCAAATAAATAAATAAAAGCTTAAAAAAAAAAATAGCTGGGGGACTAAAATGACTTGTGTCCTGAAAGTTGTCTTTCTTTTTCCGGGGACCCCTAACTTTTTCTGTTTTGAGGTCCACCTCTGGTGCCTGCGCCCACTGTCTTCTCCATGCCGACAGACCCGAGGTAGAAGTTCTTTGGACCAACAGATCTTGAATTTGATCTGGGAGGCCAGACAGGGGCAGGGTGAGCAAGTAGAATGACACAAAGTAGAGAGAGAACGTGGCCAGTCCCAATTTCACATGACCTTATGTAGTAAAAACTGTCTTGTTTTAAAAGCACTTGTTTTAAAAGTTAGCCCACACCTTTTCATTGAGAATGGTTGGGTCTGTAAGAGGTGATTAAGTTAGAAGACCTCCCCTTCTCTGTTCTCAAACACAATTCCCAGGGTTTTCTAAAGATCCTCAACAGTTTGAGATTTGCGGGCCAGGAAGTAGCTTTAACTGGTGAAAGTCTACGCCAATGGCCCAGTCTAAGGAGTAGAAGAGAATGAACTTGGCGGGGAGGGTGGAGAAAGGGCCTTTTCCTCTTCACACCAAAGACCAGTAAGTCTCCACTCTCGGGCTTACAGGCAGCCAAGTGTTCCATGTTTGTGTAACAATTTTGTGTGTGTGTGAGGGAGGGTTCTGCCTTTTGTTCCATAGACTTGAATTTAGAAGTCTTCTGCCACTGTGGTGAGGTTACAGTGATTGGTAGAAAATAATTCCACATGAAGTACATTTGTTGGTTGCATTGAACACAACTCAATTCTATTTTGACAAATGTTTGCTAAATTATTAGCCATTCACCGTGCTAGGTCTGAAAGGATCACAAAGGTGAAAAAGACATGGCCCTTTCATTAAGAGGTTAGATTCACAGACTCCCTTCTTCCCAGTTCTCAATTGCTGCTTTGAACATACTTTTAAATACATGGGTATAAAGGGAGTAGAAAGTGGGATATACAGCAAGGAATTTCTTCTGGGGCACCCAGAAGGCAGAACCTCAAGGTGGTGTTAATTTTCTAACCCTGTAGCTTTTGTGGCTAAAAGGAAAAAAAATCTCAAGCCACTTGGGGACAATGCTATTAGAGACTCCCAAGTGGTTTCTTTTTGTTTTGTTTTGTTTTGTTTTATATAAGATTGGAAATGGGAGGTATATGGCTATCCTTTGCCCCAGGTTCTTGGAAGGTAACTTTTAGGTCCTTAGAATTTTCCAAGTAGTAGGACTTTCTTTGTTTTTCATGTTGGGCCCTTGGGTCACACCTGATAGTTCATGCTAATGAGGTGACTTCTGGTGGGCCCCTAGAGAGTTTATGACAACAGGATGATTCAGGATGGGGGCCAGCATGCCAGAAAGACCAGCCAGGTGGTTAGAGTAGTGGGGCTTTGGGTCTTGTGGTAGTGACATCAGTCTGACCTGGAGAAGGAGTTCAGCTGTTCTGCCAATGATTCAATCTATCATGCCTAAGTGACGAAACTCTAATAAAAACTCTGTGCACCAAAGACTGGGCATTGTGACACATCAGTGTGCTGGGAGGGTAGTGTGTCCTGACTCCATGCGGTAAGGACAGAGGAAACTTCATGTTTGGGATTCTCTCACACTTTGCCCTATGTGTCTCTCTTTAACTGTTCTGATTTGCATCTTTTTGCTATAATAAAACTATAATCATAAGGATAACACTTTCCTGCGTTCTGTGACATTCTAGAAATTATTACATCTGAGAGGACAGTGGGAACCCTGAAATTGTGGCTCAGACATGAGCCACAAATTCAGGGACCTCCAGCCACCCTCATTTGTGATGTGAGGGCTATTTTGTTTGAGAACTATGTCTTTAACTTTGAGTTTGGTAAACTCATTGAAGGAAGGCATTTTCAGAATTTTATATAAAATTCAAATTTGGGAAGATTAGGCCCTTAAACGGTCTCTTTAAACCAGAGGGGACCAGGGTTTGCTTCTGTCTGAGACCTTTTGCCGATTATTGGATTTGATCATGAGTGCTTACTTCCTCACCCTCTCCCTCAGCCACACTCTGATTCAGCATCAGTTCTCTTGTTTTTTCCTGATCTAATTTGGCTACTAAGAGTCAAACTTCAGACCCTCCCAATCACTTCTCACGTACAACGAACCAACCTCACCTCTTCAGATTGTGAATTGCTTATTTCTCATTTTCTTCTGCTATCTCCTGTCTGTTCTGTGCAATGCTATAGGAATTCTATAGAGATTCTGGATGCATTTTGTGAAGGTAATGGCTCTCAGTAAGAATAGACAACACTTTCTTTTTCACGAGTAGAAAAAAAAATAGGTGGCTTTAGAAAGTAACTTTGTTCCTTCTATTGCTATCAAGTAGGATCTTATTAAAACCAATCCTTAAAGATACCCCTACTATGGAGACTTTAATGAAAGAGTATACTCCCTAATGTTTTTTTGGGGATTATGTCCTAAGGTCTCATTCAAATATAACAATCTGAAACTTCTTAATGCTTTACCTGTAGCTTCCCAATGGTAATTAATGCTCTTTCTTATGATCCCTTAAGGGGGAAAAAGAAAAAACTTGCAGAGAACCTCTTTGCTTAGTTGAAGACAATTATTATAAATGCCACATTCCCTTCTGTGATAGGAGAGATACTGATAGAGCCTGCAAGAGATTCTCTGGTATTCTGTCCACCCCTTCTTCACATTATTTTCATCATTGGCTTCGTTTCCTATCTTATTCATGAAAACCAACCTCCAAGAGGCAGTGCAGTCAACCACAAGATCACTGACTCAGGTCAATGAAGACATGTCTCCTTTTCACATTTATTTCATTTTGTTTTAAGATCACAGAAGAGCAGAGCATTCATACGTGTAAAGTAACAGAAGAGAGAAACAGAATTTAAATACATTTTAAAAGAAAAGAAAAAAAGCTTTTTTTAATTTTAATTTTTTTTTAAACACACATTGCGCTTTTTATTTTCCTTCACAGAGCTAGTGTCCAGGGAAAAAAATCCATCCAATAAACTTTGAACAACAACAAAAAAAAACCAAATAAAAAATGGCCATGTGTTTGTATCATCAAGGAAAAGTTTTGTTTATGTCTACAGGGCTGAAAAAAAGGAATATATTTATATATATATATATTTATATGTATATAACACTGTTAATAAGGAGAATTCTAACCAAGAGCAGGATTTATACACCCTTCAGTAGAGCGGTGATAAGGAAGGGGTGAGGCAAGGTTGGGGGGAAAGAAGGCAGAGGTTTTGTCCCATGCTTCTCTCCCCCTGCATCTTTTTCCCTTTAACCTTCCCTCAAACCCAGTGAATACTTAGGGAGCAGGACTTGGCCATAATCACCAGAATGAACCATTTACATTCTCTGGTGAAGAGCAAAGACTTAGGGAAGTGGGTCCAGAAAAGGCCACAGATATCTTAGAATTACTGCCACATGCCATGAAGCTAGTAGCTCCATGTTTTTTCTTCATTTGCAAGAAGCAGATTTTTACTCTGTGCCTGGCTTTACATAGAGAAGGCTTGTGCAGAGGAAAATGTAGCTGTAGGAGTAGATCCAGGAGCACCACTCAAAGAGACACCTCTGAAATAACCATGAAAATGGGGAGTTGTCTTATGGGCAGGTCATTCTCCCACTTAAAGAGAGCTTGGTAAGTGCTCTAAGCACATCTCACATCCTTATCAAGTAATACTAACGCTGGGAAGTTACGGATAATCCCTGCTCTACAGTACACAGGAGTCTCAGATGGTTTCTGTTCTCCTAGGCAATGATTGAAAAAGCTAATTTGAGCCTCCAGGATAGTGTGGGGCTACGCTTCGATGGGTTAAAACAAGTGGGCCTGTGCTCAATCCCTTCAGAACATGGCACAAGAAAGTAATTCCTCATTAACTGCCTGAGAAGCATCATTTCTGTCCCCTCTTCTCAGAGAACTGAACTTCCACATTTGATCTTGGCCTTCACAACAACTCTTACTGTATTCGACTCTGTCACCTCCTGAAATGTGTTTCTTTTTGTCCTATTTTTAACTTGTCCTCTTTAAATGATATCGACCTGTACTTTTTGAAAATGAGGCTTGTTTTCTCTCTGTCCACTTGCTTGACTTCACAGCCTCTAAGTCAAGTTTAGGGAAACTCATGTCATGAGAAATTCCTTATAAAACAAAATGTATTGTCTTGTCTTTTTCCTCACAGAACAGCCTTTTGAACCTGCCCGGGACCACATGCCTACTGCCATATCAGCACAAGCAGAATTTTCAAGGACACACATTTACTGAAATGAGGCACTTGGCCCAGGATGAGGAAAAAAACAAAAACAAAAACAAAAACAACCTGATGTTTCCTTTCATATGCACAGCATGCGTAATACTCAATCTGACTACTTTCCTTCCTATGAAAGATTATTAGTGCAACAGTTCGATTTTTTATTATAAGGAAACAACTCCAGCTATTTCAATGCCTTCAATATCATCTGAATGTGTCCCTTCTCTACATTGCTAAGAAGTTTTGATCAGAAGAGGATTTTAGAACCAGTCCAGGGACCCTGTATTCTAGACGTTTTGGCTTTTGAAATGGAGATGATGGCATGATGGTACCGAGAAATGAAGGTGGTACAGAGGCCAAACTGAAGGTGACAAACAGCTCCTTGGAATGACCAGCTGGCCACATGCTACATGAGCATGAAATTCTTATTCAGAATCAGAGTTTAGAGCTGACAGAGGTCTTAGAGATGTGATCCAAATTCCTTACTTTCAGTATGAGAAAACCAGGTCTCAGGAAGGTTAAATGACTTGCTTAAGGTCACCTAGCTTGTTTGTGGGCAGACCCTAGCCAGAATCCAATTCTCTTGACTTTCTGCTTCACCTTAAAGTTGCCATTTATCTTGGGTGGAGGAATGTACTTTAAGTGTAATGTCAATTTGACTTAAGTTTCTTTCTATAACAATCCATGCAGAAAGTTCATGTGATTCCCAAAATCATCTCTTTGATAGCTCTTTGTGGCTGTTCAGATTGTAGAAAATACATATATGTCACTCTTTTAAACACATCAGACCCTTCAAAAAGACTCCAAGAGAAGGTGCCTGAGAGAGATAGTCCCAATTAAAGTAATTATGTCCTCATTTGCAATATTCAGGATAGATATGTAGAAATATAGGTCTATCAGATTAAGTAAAAGTAATCATTTCCTAGGGTAACTTGGCAAGATATTTCTCAAGGATATAGCATATTTCTTATATCCTACAATTTCTTAGAATCAAGATGAAAAAGAAGCTTTCCCAATGTCTTTCTCTGATGGAAGATAAAAACTGAGTAATATTTTGCTCACCAAGCTGTAGGTGACCTCCTTGGATCCATTTAAATAAGCCATCCTAGATGGTGGGTAAGAAGTAACAAGAAGACACTGGGAGTTGATGCAGCAGACACATGAGACCTTAAAACTCCTTCCTCCCTGTCTTCTCATTTCCCTTGCTTTGGGGTCAGGTGAGACAGCTGTGGCTGTCAGTTGGGAGAAACTCCACTTAGGTCCCTCAGGAACAAAGAGGTGGCCTCCTGTGACTTGAGCAGGATGTCACCTTTAATAGTTCCTGTGGGTCTGCTTCCTTTTGCTGAGGCAACCTTCTTGTTCGGGACATTAGTCATACTCCTTCCCATTCTGACCTGTGAAATGCTTTAGTTTTTATTTGATTTTTTTTTCTTTAAGATTCATAGATTTAGCTGAACCTGGGCACTGCATGAAAAATGAAGTTTACATAGTTTATATTATGTACATAAACTAGTGATTTACATTGATTTACACATGATTGGTGCCTAATTTATTAATCAGCACACAGTATGTAAATGCACTGAAAGGAAATCAAGATTTTAAAATAAGTTTTCCATAATATCCATAAACATTTGCACTGGTGTAAATGTTAAACCTAAACCTAACGTTAACACCAGCTTCCTTGCCAAGAGGAAAGTGATGTACATTGCTGGGGGAAAACAAATTCTCTCTTGAATTTCAGTTGGCCGCATTTGACAACACAGCTACATGCAAATGAGAATAGTTTACTTCTCTTCCCACTAGTATGCACATAAATGTAAACTCCATTTTGCATTTAGTGAGATGTTTACAGATATTATGCCAACCATGATGGAAAATTTACATCACTGGGGCAAATGTAGTCTTTGGAAGAGAAATATTTTAAGTACGGAAGAAAGAAGAAGCCTTCCTGAACTGAATTTGAGTTTTTTAATTTAGGGTCCTATCTCACCATTTTTGTGCTATGTTTAACATTTGTCTTCAAAATATTAATAGTTTTTATAGGTCAGATATAACACTGCACTTAAATGTCTATAAAAAATTGATAGTTACCTGTAACCAAGACTAAATTCAGGCTAAAAAGTTAATGAAGATGAAGAGAAAAATAAGGCCATGGAACTTGGTCCACAAAAAATTCCTCTTAAACAAGTAATTACGAAGTGGAAAAAATGGGGCTCCGTATCTTTCTAAATGAAACATAGCTCTTTTTTTTTTAACCAAATTCAGTATTTTTCTTCCTTTTAACCATTATTCTAGATTTGTCTTATAATACATACAATATTGTAAATATAGCATCTGTAAAGATAAGATTAAAAAAAATACATACACATATATATTATTTTTCCACAAATAATTCAAGGTCTGCAAAAAGCAAAAGGAGAGATTCCGGGAGACAAGCCAATAGAAACAGTCAAACCGCAACCACCCTGGGGATGGAAACTGTGACTCTGGAGTAGTTAAGAAGCTAACAACTTGGTAGGTAATAACTCAGAAATAATTTCATGCTGAGGAGTTTAGTTTTTGTGTGCAAAGGAGGTAAATCCATTTTTGGAGGAGAAACAGATTTGTGTTTCTGTCTCCAAGAACATGAATATCACGAGTACTTTTACAAGGTCTCTATGAATAGCCCCAGTTGACTGAATATGTAGTAAAAAAATGCCCATGGCAAGGGAGAAGTCTGTCTGACTTGGAAGAGAAGGCAAAGGTCAATAGGACAATTCTTCCCCAACAGAAGACACAATTTTTCCCAAAGCCTTAGTTCTTTTAGGGCAGAGGGATTTTATGTCTCAAAACAAGTAAGACTGTTCCTCCAACAAGGCAACACCTTCTGATGCACAGTTAATTGCACAGAAGATATAATTCTGCAGTTGTAAAACCTAGGGTAGTTCTCATTCTTCAGGAAGTGCCCTTGGTCAAGGTCATTTCTGCTTTCCTTAACTGAAGGTCGGTTCTAAGGATTTTGTTTTATGAATGGTGGAGTTTCGTTTTGCATACAGAGGACATTAAATATATTAGCCATTCAGATTAATTCATGAATTTCACTCCTCTCAGGGTATTATTTCCAACCAGTTGGTTCTTTTCAGTGCAGGGTTTCAAGTTTTGATTACCAATGGACAAGATTCTTGAAGGGATTTATAGCAATATGATGAACTAAATTCCAAGAAGTCCCATGTTCAGACTCAATTTCTTGGTGTCAGTCCTCCGGCTGCCACCTTTTTCCTGACCTTTCTCCAAATTAGGTTCTCCTCCATTCTTCACATTGCTTAGAGACATTCTCAAACCTAGAAGATTTCTGGGGCCAATGTTTGCTCTGAAACAGGAGCCAGGACAATTTTTTTAAAATTCCCAGATCCTGCCAGAGATATATGCAAACACCACAATATTCAATATATGTTTAATTATGTTTAATATATGGTCCATTATATTAAAACTCAGGGAACAAATGGTGCTGACAAGGCAGACATTCCTTTCTGCGGAGAATCTCCTTCCATAAAATCAAGACCTTGTCGTTATGATAGGGTGGAGACAATATGAAATGTAGGCGTATGATTAAAATATGTCACATGCCACAAGGATCTGTTCCTGAAACTGATACTAAACCAAATTAACTCCTGCTACTTTTATTTTCTTATATATCTTTAAATTAGCATGCATTCCTCTAAAGCTTCCACCTAAGGATGTGACTGGCTCTTCAATATGTGGGAAACATTTATCATCAATGATGATAAACTTTTATTCCTGTACTAAGACCAAAATGTTAGAGAAACCCCGATTGTCAATAAACTGATGCTGGATAGGAATATGGCTCACCTTCCCTATATTTTAGTAGCTACTTTCTGGGATAAGAATTTCTGTACTATGCGAGGCTCTGCCACAAATACTCTTATCCATCCCCAAGCCCAATTTGCCCTTCAGTTTCATGTCTAAACTGCAATCATAAAAGAAGGCTGGTAATAAGCTTTCTAAAACAAACAATAGAATCCCCTAGAACAGATTTAAAATGTTGCTTATCAAAGAGATCATTACCTTCAAAGACAAGGCTCATTGCAAAGAGCCTTCAATTAATGAAATCTATCAGTAGACATTTTAGGTCTGTCTTTTCTTCTTCCCTCCTTTCCTTCCTTCCTTCCTTCCTTCCTTCCTTCCTTCCTTCCTTCCCTCTTTTCCACTTTTTCCCTCTCTTCTTCTCTTCCTTTCTCTCTTCCTTCCTTTTTCTATTTGCAGTTAGGATGTTTCCTGTTTTATATTCTGTGACAGCTATTTTGCAGGTTCCAAACTAAAGGAGGTACCATATTTGGCTCTTCTGAAATACATTCAATTGTGACCTCAATAATAATCCTCTGTCTTTTCATAAACTGAGCCACTTCCAATGCCTCCTATAGTTTAAGTGAAAGCACTCGTTGGTTTCCTGACAAAGACATCTACAGACAGAGAGCCAGCTCTCTCTGCAAAACCTTTCCTAAGAAAATCCTGGTGTTGTGGCGATACCAAGCTTTGTGGTGTGCGTACAACTTTGACCTAAATTATTACAAGTTTCCCAGTTCTTTTGATTAAGGAACTAACTCACATTTCAGATGACTCTTGTCGATGTAAACTTAGACATCATAACCCCCACAGTATCTTTTTCAGGAACCAGAAGCCAAAAGTGAGCAGGGAAGGTGGAATATATTCCAGCAGCCTGGCCTAGGATAATGATGGACTACTGCGAACAATGGTGCTGCAAACATTACCAGTGGAGCAAAAAAGGAGATTGTGCAGGCCACCAAATAAAGTATTAGCTTACAACACCAGGACAAAAATCTGCAAAGGAGCACAAGGAATGGATTCCTTCTTGTTATGGTCAATGCTTTGTATAGAGCTCTGCCAACATCTCTACAAAAGGAGTAGGGACCTGCGCATCTGTCTACTTTTTCCTGCCTTGCTCACTCTCACTATATTTTATCTGAAATAGGAAACAATCTCTGCTCAAGGGAATCCATGGGGCCAAATGCAGTGTTATTTGAAGATCAGGGAAGGGGCACAACAGGGCTGCTTAGTATCTCCATGTGGCTCATCAACCTTTCATTGGGAGTTAACACTTGGAGACCTTCCTGGTTCTTGGGATTTACTCAACACACGCTACTCACTCCTGCAGCAGAGCAGGTCCAAGCCTGCAAAAAGCCAGGAAATACATGAATTCCTCAGACTCATGAAACAAGAGTGAAATCAGAAACCTTCTCTCCTAGGTCACCTCATTGACGTCACTGATTCTTTCTACTGTTTGCTCACCCCGTCAATAGTAGGCACTTTCATTTACAGTGATATTCTGAGTGACTCTCGACTGGGTTCTGATGATTGGACTAGGAGGAATATGAGGTTCTGCCCTTAGAAGGGGCACAGCTTGGTGTGGATACACACTGATGTCATGTGACAGCCATGGGGGAAGTTGGGGGACCCTGCTCCATGCCTCCTTCCCCACCATGTCCCCCAGCAACTTGTCACAGCCGCATCTCACAATTACAGTGCGGGACAGTATCTACAGCACAATGAGTCTATGTACACATGGACCATTCCCTTGGCATGCTTTAGAGAGAGACACACACACGCTCACACACATGTACACCCACGTGAGAGCGAGAGACTTGAGCACGCGCACACAGTGGAGAAAATTAAAATGGCACTTCCTAGCGTTTGCGGCATGACTAGTGCTGGGGGGTGTGGTAGGGGGTGAAGAGAAGCAGCAGCTATGGGGATGGGGGGGTATAAAGGGAGTCTCTGGGATGGATGTGGGGGAGATGGAACACACTGGAGGGGGAGGAGATGGTCTTAAAAGTTGGAGAGATAGTGGAGGCAGGAAAGCCAGGTAAAGGCTCAACACAGGATTCCAGCGTGGATTCCACTGATAGTCTGAAATGGCTATGAATCAGCTCAAATGAAGAACAAAATAAAAAGATGATGGAAATACAAACACCAAAGGCAAGACCTTATTTTTGCTTTCTCCACAGATGAAAAAGAATGAAGGAAGGATAAAGTGTGTGTGGGGGGGTTAATATCCATCTGACACTTCTTCACTCCTCCTATTTTTACAGCATCCGGGTGTCCTTAGCACGATGTAGTCTTTATATAGTATACATTTGCTTCGATATACACATATCCTTGTAGAAGTTTTCCCACCCTGATTTATAGTTAAGTTTTTATTGATGGACTTTAAAATGGTTTTAAGTGTATTTTCTTCTTCGTTTTCTTATTTCCCCCTTCATTTAAAAACACACAAAGTTGTAAAATAAACAGTCTCCCCCCATCTCGCTCTCTCTCTGTCTCTCTCTCTCTGTATCCTGTGTGACGCGTTTTTGTGTGTTTTTTTAAATTATTCTTAAATTTTTATTCTATTAACATTTGCTGAGAAGGCAGAGCAAAGATGCTGCCATCAGCCACAGTGGTACGGCCAGACTGATGGATCCATTTATTCCTCTCACCGACCCAGGCCCTGCAATGCAAAAGAGAAAGGAGAGAGAATAGTTACATCCAGCCTCACTCGAGGTTACAGCTGACAGCTGACAGTACCAGAGGTAAGAACGGGCCAGGTACCAGCACCTCAAGGTCCATGCGCTTATGCACAGCCCAAGAAGCGCTCCCAACCTTTCCTAAGTGCTTCTCCTTGAGTTGTAAGTATCTCAAGGGCTATCAGTGGTTGAACACTTCTGAATAGAAAATGCTCTTGGAGAAGGCTATCACTGATGTGTGTGCTGGTGCAGCGGGGTCCTCTTCACCCAGCCTCCTCTCGCACGCTCTGCTCTGCATAGCACTGTGATGTCGGCCCTCGTTAAGATTCCAAGCATTGGTGAGGGTCCTTCAGCAGCCAGACACGGGCTCCTCCAGCTGATTCATCACAGTGTCTCCATCAATAAAACATGGGACCAGTCTGAAACTCTCATTTCTCAGGGGAAGCGGTAATTATTTATTTGTTAATGGGAAGGGGAATTGCTTCCAAGGAACACTTATGGCTGAATGGCCCCTGAGCTGCAAGGTGGAAAATAAGCCAACTCCTTGTAGAGTCTTAAGAGGTAGTTGGGAATCATCTGGTCCCAACTCTTCATGTGACAACTTTAAAGATCAAAAGCAAAGGCAGCAGGAACAGCAACAACGACGACAACCAAACCTAGGGAGGTTAGGAGGCAGGTCCAGACCAGAAGCAGGACTGAGGCTGGAACTTGCCCGGAATTTCCCCAGGAGTGGCAGCCTCTATGTTTCCCACTGCCACCTTAGTTTTCCCAACGTGGACACAATTTGGGGCATGTGGGTGTGGATCTAAGAAGCAGACTGGAATGGAGAAGAAAGTGGAGAAGGCATATGTGTGTTGACAGAAAGGAGAAAATTGGGGCAGAAAATGCAGGCCCCAAGAGCTTGTCTCCTATGCTTTGCTTGCTCCATTTTCTCCTTCTGTATAGTTCTGTTCATATAGATCCATTACAAGAAGAAAGTGTTAGTCTTTTTCACAACAAAAATTTTTAGATTTAAGACTGTATGCTTAGACAATGATGTTCGAAAGATAAATCAATGTGACTAATTTTGGTTCACTTTGCAGTTTTGAGGGCACATATGCTGATCAGCGTGTGTGAATGAATGTGCGTGTGAGTGTGCGTGTGCGTGTGTGCACGAGTGTGTGTTTAAACCTATGATGGTTTGCATGTGCAACGGAAGCGTCCTCTGGTACGCGAATGTTTCCAAAAGTGTCTACAAACATATCAGCTCAGAGGTCAAATAACAGGGAAAATGCTGAATTCAAGAATGTCCTCCTCATCTGTGTTTTATATAAATAATGGCAACAACAACCGAATAAAACCGACACTTACACAGCACTTACTAGAAGGTACTGTCACAGATGCTTTACGCAGGTAAGCATATAACCATGCTATGAGACGGGCATTACAATGAACCCTTTTTTACACTGAGATAGTAAGAGGCATTGCATACATTTACACAGCTAGGACGCAGAGGAGCTGGGGTTTTGGCCCAGGTGGCTGGCTCTAGTCTTTGCCTGTCACCACTATGTGGTGAAGTTCCACAGTGAAGGAGTGAAACGTTCAGCAAATGAATTTTGGGTGTGCTTAAAACAATAGCCAGAACAAACAATACACGACATGGAGGCAACCATTATCTTTGAAAACAATTTTCAGTAGAATATATTTTACTAGAATGTCTTCTTGAGAATATTAAAAATATTATTTACTCTAAAAATATGAATATATGCAAACTTTGAAATGGTAGAAAATGAGCTTTATTGTCTGGAAAGCTACGGAGATACAGAGTAAACAATTTAAATATTCAATCAGTCAATTCTTTAAGTTTCTGAGTGGCTATAGGATTGTATTAATAAAAGACACTTTTGCTACTTTCGGGTTCATGCCTTTCATGAGGAATTTAGGTTCAAGAAGATCATGTATTCTGCAAAAAGCACCTGATGGGAATTGTTGACCGAGCACTAGAATACAGGTGTTCAGAGTCTCAGCTCCATGCTTTTCATAGCCCACCCTTCACACCCTTCACCACCATCCTTTTTGGCCTTTGTGACCTTTAAGTTCTCTCAGTGGCAACTCCCGGGGGCTTCTGGCCAGATGGTAATGCATTTCCCTATCATTTTAATTCCTCTATATGCTTTAAATGGCATTTACTTGGATTAGTGGGTCAGGACAGCTTCCAAAACAGAGAAAGACTACACACAAATTGAGGCCTCACAGGACCAAGGAAAAATGATTTTTGTTTTGCCCTAGGGATAGTGTGAAACAGAACGTTTTTAGAAAGAGTCTAATTTTGCCTCTGTCCTTAACCTCACTTTTAGTTCTGGGACAGGCTAGATTATCTTTCAGACATCTTGGAGTTGAGTGGTACCCGGGGAAGTCTAAAAAGCCTAGTCTTATCATTTTATTTGAAGAGCAGTAAGTATTTGAGAAAGCAAAAATTCCATCATTGAAAAATACAATATATACATATATGAACCTAAATAAATATGTTCACATATAACATTCTTGCTAATGTATGTACACACATATATCCGCAGATACAAAGAGAAGTATATATTATATGCATACTCATATATACAAATATGATATACGTACACACATATTATTGGCCTTTTAATAGATACAATTGAGAATTAACTGTTATTTTCACATGCTAGTATATGATATGTGTAGGGAATCCCAGTATGACTGTGCTAATAATCTTAATTTTATCCTTAGTAGAATTATTATTATATATTTGAAATGCATTTCATGGATCTGTTAAGGATATCTTCACTTCTATCAATTATTATTTATTAAGTGCTCTCATATAGCTATTTGATGTGCTTATATGACTTGCTCTTTTCATAATTGGTTTTGAGAGTAAATAAATAGCTTGAAAAAAAAATGCAAGGGTAAATGAATGATAGTTGGAACATCATCACAAGTGTGTATGGAATTATAGATATATAGGACTGCATAGGAGACTACTTCAGTTAATGGCTATTTCAGGGAAGAATAATCAGCAAAATCATTAATTATGTTTTAGTTCATAGTTATGAAATTTCTGCTTATTTGTGGAAATGCAAATGATAAATCTTATTTCCCACACCAGATGGCCAGGCTCAGCAAGTGCTTTTATATACTGACAGATATAATGAAAGCAAGAGTCTGTAAACATAAATTAGCCTTAAGAATAGATGGGCAAATAGAACCACAATTCAAAAATTGTTACATGTTTTTCATACAACAGACAAAAATCATATCTTGGCATTTAGCCACATTCTATATGTGTTTATGTGTGTGTGTGTGCACTTATATGTGTGGTATCTAGTAAACATTCAATAAATGGTAGCATCATCATCATTGCTATTAACTATAGAAGCTTGGATTACAGAAAAACATGAAATACCTCTGAATCAAAGGCATCAGCTTGTGAATTGGGTCAAGGCTTTTAAAGTTTGACCCGAGGGCACCTGGGTGGCTCAGATGGTTAAGCGTCTGCCTTCGGCTCAGGTCATGATCCCAGGGTCCTGGGATCGAGTCCCACATCAGGCTCCCTGCTCCTTGGGAACCTGCTTCTCCCTCTGCCTCTCTCTCTCTGTCTCTCATGAATAAATAAATAAAATCTTAAA